CTCTCTCCCTCTCTCTCTCTCTCTCTCTCTCTTTCTTTCTTTCTTTCTTAGCAAAGGAGACATGGTTCTGATGTTGATGCTGTAAAAATAAAACCTTGGACAGAAAATAAAAAGCCGTGTTGGGCGTATCACTCTACTAATCAGAAGATGAGATCTGATGGATTGGGAGCATCAGGACATGCATCAAGCACTAACAGAAACAGTATAAATAAAGCCTCCAAGCATGGTGACAGTACAAAAATGTCCAAAGTTATGAAAGAGGTGAAAGCTGGGGGGAAACATATCTCTGGCAAGTCTAAAACTACAGTAAAGCCCCAAACAGAAAACAGTGATCATACGAAGTTAGAAGGTCTGTCATCCACAGTTGTGGGAAGACCAGCAAGAGTAGCAGCAACTGGACGGAAGGACCCAGTGCATGGAAAAGGAATCCAGAACCAAGAAAGGGAGACCACAGGAGCCAGGCCCAAGGCACTCACTGCAAACCTGAACGTGCAAGCCAGAACCAAGCCTTTACAAACACTGAGAGAGAAAGATTCCACATGCCCCGCCACTGTGGGGCCCTCCAATAGATCTACAAATTCCAGCACAGAGCTTCTGGCCTCCACAGGCTCTGTGGATGAGACAAAAGAAAATGGATCAGTAGAAGACAAATCTTGTGATGAGAAGCCGTACGTTAGTGATTCCCCAGGACCGACAGTAAACAATGGAGTAATGTCAACTCTAGGTGGGTTTTAGCACTCTTATTTTGTTCGTGTGTGTGTGTGTGTGTGTGTGTGTGTGTGTGTGTAGGGCGGGCATGGCTCTACACACTCTAGACAGGAAATCTACACCAGCAGCTCAGCACTGCAAATGTTTGTTTGAGATAAGACCTCTCCACCAGTCCATGCTGGCCTTAGACCTGCTCGGTCGCTTAGAACACTCTTGTACTTCTGATCCTCCTGCCTCTGCCTCACAGGCACTAAGACTACTGTTGAGCCCCAGCATGCCTGGTTTATGTAATGCTAGAGATGAAGCACTCTACTAAATAGGCTGCATCCCTAGCCCTGAGGTCTTAATTTTTAGTAGCTCCTAGTACTTAAAGATTCCTAGATGATCCTTGCATGCTAAAATGTGTTTTATATGGATATGTGCAAACTGAAATGTGTTCTCTCCCATATCAGCACTTGGTTTTTAGTGTCTAACTTGTATATTTATCCAATTTGTTATAGCAGTAAAGTCTCGACCAGTTTCAAGAGTTACCAATGGAACATCCAATAAAAAAAGCTTTATTCATGAACAAGACTCTCACATGAATAGCAGGTGGGACTCTTTTCAGCTCAGTGTTTCACCCAACTGTCTCTGCAAGCTATTTATATACTAATTTTTAGCTAAATGTTTTAAAAGATTTTTCTTTGTTTAAATGTATTTATGAAATTATGTTTTTAAACTCTCTTATTTCATATTTATATAAAATGAAGAAATGTAAAAGTTGCTTGCTATACGTAATGGCATGTAAAGTCATGCATTGACTTATGTGGACTACTCTCAAAGCTTGAAGGTTTACGAACATAGGTTTCTCTGTTTTCAGAAGAGATATGTTTCTGTTTCTTGACAAAATATATGCTCATATATGGTTGTGGACATATACGGGTGTTTGTAAGTTCACATCACAAATGGTTGTGGTTACACACGGGTGTTTGTGAGTTCACATCATGTATGGTTGTGGTTGTACATGGGTGCTTGTGAGTTCATATTTTATGGTGTCACTGTAATACTAAGTGCAATCATTCTTCTTAGTGTAATAAAAAGAGGGAATGGCAAAGGACTTAGTGATTCAGCACCACAGACAGCTGCGAAGAAAAGAGGGAGCAGCAATGGATACACAGCAGCTCAGCCCCAGACAAAGATTGCTCCTCCCACCCTGGCTCAAACTCAAGGTAAAGCTGCAGTGGCCCTGAGGGTTCTGGAGCCTGTGTCAGCTGGACAAGCCAAGCTCCAGCCAGATTGCCATTGCAACATAAGCAAGATAGGACATTACTTACTTACTGTGCAGGTGTCGCATATTCCTGAGGTAAAGTTCCATGGTTTGTAGATAGGTATTTTGGTACTAGGGAATTGATTTGGATTGTCCTGTTCTTTGTGGAGATAAATTTAAAGGAGCCAGTGACTGGTCTCTACTTCTGGTCCTTTTGTGGAGCATGCCTAGGTCTCTTGGAAGTTTCCTTGATGACTAGAGGAATGATGTTTGTGAAACTAGCACTGAAGAGTTGTTAAAGAACAGTAGGAACTGAGCAGCTGCGTGGAGACGGTGTTCCTCCAGAGCCTGTCCCCATGCTGCTGTTCCTCAGTGTTCCAAGAAAAATCAATGCTGGTTAGATTATATACTGTGCATGTAGCAGCCAGTTTTAAACATTACTTTCTTTCTGGGCTGAATGGCCCGTGCCTGTAGTCCCTTCATTGGGGAGATAAAGGCAAAGTGGTCCTTGATCTGCATAGTGAGTTCAAGCCAGTGCTAGCTGCATGAGACACTATCTCCAAATAAACAAAAAGGGAGAGGAGGAGGACAGAATGCAAGGAAGGGAGCTGAGGGAATGACTTTGTACATGAAGCTTAGGGGGAAAAGCCAAGGGCAGTGGAGCATACTTAAAATCTCAGCACTGGCCAGGCAGTGGTGGTACACGCCTTTAATCCCAGCACTTGGGAGGCAGAGACAAGCAGATTTCTGAGTTCAAGGCCAGCCTGGTCTACAGAGTGAGTTCCAGGACAGCCAGGGCTATACAGAGAAACCCTGTCTCGAAAAAACAAAAAATAAAAAATAAAAAATAAAAAGAATCTCAGCACTCGGAAGGCAAAGGTGGATGGAAGAATCCCTGAGGCTTGATCACCAGCCTCATCAGTAAGGCCCAAGTCCTGGTAAGAGACTGTGTCTCAAAAAGAACAGTGCGTGGCTCCTGAGGAGTTGATTCCTGTCAAGCTCACATGTGCGTGTGCACACATCATCACACAAGCATGCACACACACACACACACACTGAGACTGACCTCTGGCATGCTCACATGTGCGTGTGCATACACAGTCCCATACCATAAGCACACACATTTATTTTTTATGTATTAAGAACTCATGTGTAAGAGCAGCTTATAAAACCCAAAAATAATCTTGATTTACATGATGAATAAATATTGAAAGTCAATTGAAAATCAAGGCAGATGAAGTTACTCATATTCTAGTAACAGTTAGAACTAAGATATAAATGGTTCATAGGACTAGGGTCTCTCAGTGGTGGAATACTCACTTGTCTTTCACTGCTCCCTGGTTTCAGTCTCTAGAATCCCGTGCAGCCCAAGCACACACAGAACAAAAAGTTGGTAATTGGGGTTGGCAGATTTGAGTGCCCCAAAATTTTATTTCTAAGACACATAAATGGAATTTTAATTCTGAATCTCCTGTAGCCAATGATCTGGTTCTCACTACAGATCTGGGCTTGCCCTAATAAGCTATAACCATAATCATCCAGTATAAGTTTATTCCAGTTTGATGAGAAATGAATAACTTCAACAAATGTCCGTTTGTTTTTAGGTTAGTTCTTCTTTTCAGCTGTGTTGTTTTCTTTACTCCCTCTCCCAAAAAAGAACACTTCAAAGAGAAGACTTTTCTTGTTGTTTTTATATAAGAAAATCTGCTGTTGCATATTTATGTAAATCTAATTTTGGCATAACGATGAAGGCTCTTGGTGAAAAAAGATTCTCTGAAAGGGTTTTTAGTAAGATCGTAAAATAGTTCCTCTATATTTAAAATATTTGGAGTTTTTCACTTTATCATTGTTTATTATTTTTTGACTGTCATTATTAGGTGTTTCCCTTTGGTTGCGTTATCTATTTTATTTTCTCTAAAGTGATTTGAAAACATTAAATTTCACCTTAGAATTTGAGAGTACTTTGTATTTCTGAACTTTCTTAGGATCCCAAGGAGAGTCGCCGCACTCGGTAAAATCTTCAGTCTCTTCAAGGCAGTCTGATGAACATGTGACAAAGTTGAGGCATGGTACAGAGAAGCAGATACCTACGAGGAAAATTGTCAAGCAAGGACACACAGCTTTGCAGAAGGTTAATGCAAAGCTGGTACCAATGCCTAAAAGCTCAAGTCAGCCCAAGAAAGGTGGAACTGTGAACAGTAAAGACTCAAAACAAAAAGTGCTTCCTGGACAAGTCATGCTGCAGAGTCAGCGACCTTCCAAACCTGAGGCGGCCACCACACAGAAAAGCGTGCTTCATGGTATGAATGACAGCAAGAACCATGTTTTTAAACAGAGGTCTCACGAGTCCATGGTTACCCTTGCTGGTGACACCAGTAGTCCTGGAGCATCCCAGTCACCCTGCAGACCTCGGCCACAAAGTCCATTAGGCAGTCAAGAGAAAAAGAGACTAGAGCCAGAATGCCAAGCTAGGTCAACCCCGGGTGACTCAGTAAATCCTGAGCTGAGGGCAGAAGTGAGTAGCATAGAGCACAGTCACACATCTGATTACAAAGACACCAGTCAGTGCACTTGGAATCCAAACTGTGGGAGCATCGCTGCTCTGACATCTATGATTTCAAATCCAAATGAAAACTTGATAAACTCTAACATAGTTCATGATTCAGACTCAGCAAATGCAGACCAAGTCTATTTATCAGATAGAGAGAGACAAGCGGGGAGGAAAAACAAAGACACTGAACCAAGTATGAATTGTGTGAACGGGAAAGCAGCTTTACTGTGTGTTCCCAAAGGGACAAATGGTACCCAAAACTCTGCACAAGATGACAGCAGACTCACATTTCATGTAGAAGAACTGGCAGCTCAAAGCCAGTCACCTGATGACTGTGCTACAGAGTGTAGTGAATGTGCTACAGTCACCTCAGCTGTTTCTTCAAAAAGTGTTTTGGGACAACCATCAGAAAAAAATTATAAAAATATGGAAACATCAGAAACCCCAGAGAGCCAGGAAACTCTGGACGCTCCATTCATGGGTCCCTGGGATTTGAACACCAGTGCCACACATCAAAGAGAGAGTCCAGAATCCGACACTGGTAGTGCTACCACTTCTTCAGATGACATAAAGCCCCGCTCAGAAGACTATGATGCTGGGGGATCTCAGGACGATGAGGGCTCACACGACAGAGGCATCTCCAAGTGCAGCACAGCGCTGTGCCATGACTTTCTCGGGCGAAGCAGCAGTGACACCAGCACCCCTGAAGAGCTGAAGGTGCACGAAGGTGACCTCAGAGCTGAAGTCAGAGTGAGAAAGCAGGGTGGGGGTGACCTCCAGACCCAGTCAGCAAGTGATGACGAGATCCCTCGGAAGAAGCCAGAACCTTGGTCTCGATCTACAATAGTCTATCCCAGGGAGAAGGGAAGTGCTCCTCGGGGTAGCATCCCATCTGCTCAGGAAGTAGATCAGGTTTCTTCTTCAGCAGACGAAACGGAAGATGAAAGATCTGAAGCAGAAAATGTTGGGGAAAATTCCTCTCCATCCAACTCAGGTACTCAGCACATCCAGGGAATAATTAACTTAGCTTTTGAAGATGGAACTGAACATGAAAGTCGTGAGTTTTCTGCAACTAAGAAGTTCAGAAGGTCAGTGTTGCTCTCGGTGGATGAGTGTGAGGAAGTGGGGTCTGATGAAGGTGAAGGCCACACCCCCTTTCAGCCCTCCCTAGATTCTCTTTCACCGTCTGATGTTTTTGATGGCATTTCTTATGAGCATCATGGAAGGACAGGCTGTTCTAGATTTTTCAAAGAAAATGAAGCTATTGCTACAGAGCATAAACATAATAAAGGTAATGATGGGTGTAAAAATGGAAGCTTTCTTCTGAGTCCTGGGAGCAAAGACTTCCCAAGACAAGATAAGCAGTGTGTCTCAACAGATCAGAGGACCAGGTTAGATGGCTCGCCCAAAGGAAGCCAACAACTTTTTCCAGAAGATGAAGAAGTAACTAGTAAACATGTGGTAGCTCACGACTTTCAGCAGCACAGCACGTTCATAGATGGGGACACCAAGTCTCCAGAGCGGCCATGTCACTTGGAGCTCCATCAGAGAGAACTCGGCTCCAGCATACCAAAGATCAGCTCAACGCAATCTCTAGCCTCCTGTCCCAGCCAGGTGCTGCCTCAGGAAGGTCAAGTGAAAGAGAGCCATCCTGTACCTCCCAAGAGAGCTAATAATGCTGTGTTCTCAGGTAATGTACAGAAATAGAAGTTTAAAGTTATCTGTAGCCCTGGATGCTATATTTTAGTTAGAATATTTGAGCTACAGTTTCAACTTTTAAATGAGAACTTAAATTTATTAATAATATGAAAATGAGCTAGCTATTCATTATTTATTGTTTGCTTACAATCTTAGTGAATAATTAATATGTAGTGGAAAACCTTGTTTATTACACACAGATAACATGCTAGATCTTACCTGGAAAGGACAAGGACTTAGTTTGGTGTCATGTCTGATTTAATGTAAGCATTCTTGACTGTGAAGTTTTACGTTACATTGGATATGATTTATGGACTTGCTAGTATAGATCCAAGAGGGCTGTGCAATAAACATAGTAATATTACTGAAAAGCACTAAACTATTTTAACTAGATTAATTATAATTTATATGCATTTTACAGAGACTAAAACTTTCTTAGGATCAATATAATTCTATTCTAAGATTTTCAAGTGAAGAGATGAAGTTTCCTAAGCAATTATATTTAGAAGCAATGACAGTATATGACAAAGCCCAGACTTATTTCACATGCTAAGATAATTTTTTTGTCTAATTGTTTTGTGTTTATGTCTTTCTTATTTCAATAATTCAGACTAGTGACTTAAAATATGCAATAGTAGCTGGTTAAGTATTATGTATCATAATTTAAAAATAAAATATTGACCAGAAATCCCTATTTAGTAAAATTATAAAAGTAGGAGATCTTCCAAATTCATATTTTTTGTTTGTTTGTCCTGGTTCAAATCCTCCTTTGCATGTGCAATATACAAATAAGACTTTAGATACAGTGTATTTACCCCCTACCCCATGAAACCAAGTTACTTTATAGATACCTTTAGATAACTGTCTTTTTTTTCTTCCTTGAGTTTCTATTGTAGTGAATTAGATTTATGTGTACTTTTATGTTTGTGTTTTAAATAATTTGTTTTCTGTATTCTAAGTTTTCAAATTAAAATATGGAAAATTATTGTTAGTTACCTACATTGATTTTGCTGCTATACATTACCTTTGAATTTTTTTGACACAGAAAAATAAATGCCTCAAAAATTTTGTCAATTTTGTAAGAATGTTATTTTTTCCATCTTGTGTTTTTTTCTGAGAGGAGCTAATACTGTTGTTATATTGTGTTAATATTGTTCTACAAAACTCTAAGGGGGTGTCGACGTGCAATTTTTACATTGTGTAGTATTGTGAATTATTTCAGGAGACATAGATGATTGTGATACAATGGCACAAACCTCCATGTATGACCACCGGCCTTCAAAAACCCTCTCTCCAGTATATGAGATGTCTCTAACAGCAGCGTGTGAGCAGAAAGTGGAGTCAGAAACCCATGTCACAGACAGGGGCTCTGAAGACAAGCAGCACTTTGCAAAGCAGGACTGGACACTGCTGAGGCAGCTGCTTTCTGAACAAGATGCAAACTTAAATGTTACAAGCTCCCTGCCTGAAGACCTAAGCTTAGCCCAATATTTAATCAACCAGACACTCCTCTTAGCTCGAGATAGCTCGAAACATCAGGGTTCAGCACACGCAGACACTTGGAACAGGTGGAGTGAACTGTCGTCCCCACTTGATGATTCGACAGCAAGTGCCACCACGGCTAGTATTTCTTCCATAGATTGTTCGCCTCAAGGAGAGTGGACAATCCTGGAATTGGAAACTCAGCATTAGTAATCTCAACAGTCGGGAAGGATTTAGACTACGCCACCCCTATATTTTTGATGCCTACTTTATATTTAAATTATAATTTAGTTAGCCAAATATAGACTGTCTGTAAAATTGATGGAGTCTTTAATTTATTGAGGTAAATATAGCTTATTTATTAATATGTCTCATGTTTTGAAAATGTTTTTCTAAATTTATGAGCATGTTCTCTACATCAATTAGACTAGAAGGCTGAAGAAAGTCTTTGCTACAGTTTTCTTTCCTACCTAATAATTTGTTCATTTATTCAAGAATTTTCATGTCAGTACACAGGTAGATCAACCCCTTTCTCTTGACTCTGCATATGGTACCATAACAATTTAACAATAAACTTACTGTGTGAGTGTGTACTATACAGAATCAGTCTGTGAATAACATTTGGACTCAGGCGAGTGTTGCAGCTGGGGAGGCAGAGAGACCTCAAGCTTTCCCAGCGTCTCAGGACTGGGACGTGGAGAGGTGAGTGTACCTTGAATTTCAGCCATACTGCTAATAAACCAAGAGGAGTCGGGCTTTTCTGGTTATGTCAGGGATAGGCATTTGGTCCCTTCAAAGGTGGTGGAAACTGCTTTGTCTGTGTGGTTCCAATAGTCACTTTGTCCTGCTAGCCATGTTGGGAATACTTTGGAACTGCACTGCTCCGAGCTAACACAGCATTAACCAGAATAAGTGAATGAGGCAGCTGACTGAGTCCTGTGTGTGCATGCACTTCCTCTTGTCTGTTTTTATGTTCTTTGTCTGTCAGACATCTCTCAGTCTGTAGCTTTGTAAGAAAACAAGTAATCAATGCTACAAGAGAGTAAGCAATAGGATCTTAGATGCTAATGAGGATCCCTTTAAGGTGATGGGAAAATAACAGCCAGGTTAATACAGAACTGTTTGTCCTGAAACAACAATTATGTTTTCCTTTAAGTACAAATTTATTATGCCATAAAACTTTTTCTTGAACTTTAAAAATGTTTTATTTTTTTATATTAATTTACTTTGTGGGTGTTTATGTGGGTAGGCATGTGCATGTGTGTTACAGCACACATGTGGAAGTCAGTGGACAACCTGGAAAAGTGAACTCTCACCTTCCACCTCAGGAGGCCCAGGGATTGAACTCAGATCATCAGGCTTGGTGGCAAGTGCCTTTACCCGCTGAGCCATCCCTCCATTCCTGATTCTATGCCTTTTTAGAAAGCTAGACTCTCTCGCGGGACTGCTCATTCACTTAGGGCATAGTTGTTATGCTCGGCTCAGTAGGTAAGTAAGTAGGCGTTGGATGTAAGCACTCAATAGAAGGTCAATAGAATTAAGTGAAAAGTCCAGTCTCTAGTGTAGGGCAGGAGAACGTAAGGAAAACATTGAAATAGGAACACACATACACTTTATACTTTAAAGCTGGGTAGAAGTTTAAAGATTAGACGAGTCTCTTTAAACGGTAAAGGAAGGCTTTTTGTGACCATAAAAATGAAAAGATCCTACAGCTAACTTGTGGGGTAGAATACATTATTTCTTAATTCCAACTTGCTGTTATTTCTACCACACAAAACATGATTTTCTCATGAAGCTGTGAACAAATACTTGCACATTAAAACATTGGTAGTATAAAAATGTCTATATGATAACAATTAAAGTGCACCTTCATTCCCAAGACACTCGTGGGCTTTTGTTTTCTAAATGTGAAGATGTTTTACATGTTCCCTTTAATAAACTTCCCCCGCCCCGAGGTTTAGAAGTTTATAACTAAAATTACATTTCTTTCCCATCCTTGGGTCTTAAGACTGTCACCTTAAATTATTAAGCCTTAAAACATACTCAGTTACATATCACTTCTGCCGACAGATCACTGGAAAGGCATCGTACCTAAGTGGTGACCGCTTAGGGAATGTGAGCACTTCCTGCATTCTCATGTCTCCTTTGTGAACGTGCATTTACCACTGTTTGCTGCAGGACTCTAGCAGGACTTCTTCGTGGACTGAAGCCATACCCAGATACAGAGAAGCATATAACTGCTAACATTTATCTTCCACTAATTGTACGGTAGAGGCTGCATTACATGATCTAAATATGCATCAACATATTGAAATGTCGGAACAGGTCTGTGAAATTCATCTTTACACATAGGAAATGTACTTTTTTTTTCACTCAGGAAAAGTCAAAGTTCCCAAGAATGCAGCACACAGAGACCAAAACCCCAAAAGTGAGAGACGGAAGAACAGACATCTGTTCTTGCAGCATCTGGCCCAGCTTTCTTTGCTGGAACTGTGTCAAACAGCCGTGCTGGCTTCATGACTCCTGCCTTTCCCAGTGGATATGGCAGGGTCCATGCTCCACAGAAAAGATTCTGATTAGGAAAAGAGCAATCTGTCCCCTGCCCCCTAACCCCACAGAATGCACATTGTGTCTGACCCAGAAAGAGAATTTTCACACACTCACAGTTACTCAATGCAAATGTATAAACCATAAGCTGAATACAGCTATGAAAATGTAATGTTCATATGTGCATAGCATTTCATACAAAGATTGGCCCACACCCTGCTTTTTACCAACATGAAAGACCATTAAGTCAGTAGAAAATGCCTGAAATAAAAAGAGTTAAGAACAGAGAAAGCAAATGAGCACTTGTTATCCATGAGCACACTGTGTCCACTTTTGTATGCCTGTGTGTTCATGGGTACAGGGCCATTTACTGGAGTATGGGTAGCCTCTTAAGGACCCAATGCCTGTGCTGAGTCACCCCCTATGACAAGAGAACTCAGTTGCCAATAGGTACTCATCTTGGGGTTGAACCTCCTGACTTCCTCTCAGCTTGAAGACGGTAGGTCTTCGGTCTGCAGTCATAGCCGTGGTTGGTTCATATGTGCAGAAATCCTGTTGTATCGTGAGCACACTCTAGCTGTAGTCATTCCTCCTTCTGGCTCCTACAATCTTCTCACTACATCTTTTGAAGGAAATGTACTTTTTATTTATGTATTTATTTTACATTCATTTGTTGTGAGTGAGAGTATCCTAATCACAGTGTGCCAGTCAGAGGAGAACTTGCAGTAGTCCGGTCTCTTCCACCATGTGGGTTCTGCGGACTGAATTTAGGTTGTTGGACTTGGTGACAAGTACCTTCATCTGTTGAGTCATCTCATTGGTCCCAGACACTTTTTAATTGTATATACATGTACATACATACATACATACATACATACATACTATGTATGTATGTATGTATGTATGTTCTTTATTCTGAATCATCTGACATAATGGAAAAAACAAAGAAAAATAACAAATTATTATCATGTGGTAAAATCCCAACTCTACATGTTCAGAGAGAAGCACAAACAGCTAATCAGGAAATGGTAGAGGCAGCTAGAACTTGTCAGTGATACACCCAGCTGAGCTGAGGCTGAAGTCTGAGTGTGTGCCTTAGATTAGGGACTTGGTGCCATCCATAGCAAGTATGTCATTTGTACTTAGTTTGTTGCAAACCGAAAGGGATATAAATTTTTTAAAGATGCTTTTATTCCTAGTTTGAGATTGTAAACTTCTAATCAGGAAAATTTTTTTTTAACTTCCAAGATTTTTATTTTGAGTTGGATTGTTTGGATCAATGAGAAAATATCTGGAGAAAATATGTAGCTCTCTGATCCCCTTTCTTAGAGCATCCAGATAGCATCTGCCTTTAAGGACAAGTTGAGACTCAGCAGCTCTTTTCGGACTGTCGTTCAGGATGGGTATTTAGGAGACATAGTGGAAGACAAAAAGGAAGAGCTAAGCTGGAGCTGGATCATGAAGTATCTATGAATACAGTCTTCAAACATAATTTCTAAGCTTCCATTACACATTCAGTTATTTGGGTTTAACTCTCAGTATACAGTCAAGGGTTGTTCGTGTTTAGTGGGATTAACTACAACTCACAGTGGCTATTCTATCAATTTTTTTTAATAAAATCTTTATTGGTAAGCTACATAACATACAACTCATCCACTTATAAAACTCAATGGTTTTTAGTGCAGCATATTCTGAAGCCATCATTGATTTCAAGTTTAGAACATTTTAACAACTTCATGCAAAAGTATATAATGTACTGTGATCCTATTCACTGTCTGTACCCCTGTCTTAGGATTTTACTGCTGTGCAGGAGGGGCTGAGAGTTCTACATCTTCATCTGAAGGCTGCTAGCAGAATACTGGCTTCCAGGCAGCTAGGACTAGGGTAGTAAAGCCCATGCCCACAGTGACACACCTCCTAATAGTGCCACTCCCTGGCCCAAGCGTATACAAACCATCACAACCCCCTTCTTGCCAACTAATCCCCCTCAATTCTTCACCTGTGTTTGTGTGCGCATGTATTTACAAGTTTATAGCCAGCGTGTGCTATGTAGAATCTCAAAAAACAAACAAACAAACAAACCCTTTGGTAGCAGTATGTAAGATTAAGAGTTGAATGACAAAGGCAGAGATACTGGTGAAAGTAGTTTGCAATGATAAAAGTGTGAATGGGGTAGCTTAGATGTTGGAAGACCCTGCTATTAAAGCTGCATTCCACCATGTCTGGAGAGCCCTCTGAGCTTGGTGCAAAAAGAGGACTCTCTTTTCTGCCTGACCTTCTCTGAAGAGTGTCTGACCTTATCTAGAGGATGACCTTGCACAAAGCTTCCTGCAAGCCTTGCATGATTCAGCAAGTAAGTCCTACTCAGCCTTTTCTGCTATATGATAATTAGGTACTGTGTTATGACCAATCAGCTCTTCCCACCTGTAACCCCAAAAACCTCTGAGGAAAGTCGCATAGTTCATGGACAGATTACAGGTTCAACTTCTCTCCTGTTAAGAACCTGCCCATCGGGTTCTTGGAATTCCTCTTCATGTAAATGAAACATGCCCAGCACCTCAGCTCCAGCCAATAATGTTTACCCACTCTGAAAACCCCTACCACTCCCCAAAATCTATGTAGCTCATGTTCATCTTGAATAAAGTTGAAGCTGATCCCAGGACTCACTCTGTCATACTCATATCCGTCTGAACCCTACCGTCCCATGCCTCTGCTCCCCTCACCCTTGTAGGCCAATGGCCAAAGACTTCTGAGGAAAGGGAGACCCACAAGCAGAAACAGGAGATACTTGAGTTAGCTAAGAGAGAGAACTGAGCAATCTAGTAACTAGATACAGAAATGAGATGTCAACTTACAAGATTTAGGTTTCTGACTAGGTTGGCCTGGGTGGTTGATGATGTCACCAACCAAAATTCAAAATGAGTGTAGGAGAAAAGATGAGTTTAACTGAGGACGTAGTGTGAGATTCTTAAGGGACATTCAAAGAGCTGGGAACAAAAGTACTGTTGAAAATTCAAGAAAAGAAAATCCTGAGGAGCCTAAAAAA